ACGTATGCGACGTATGCTATGTTTCCTGTCCAAAAACCAATGCAAATTTACCCATTTTCATTGATTTTTTGGTGGAAAATCAAAATGAGTACTATTTGTGACGTCATGAATAAATTTTCAACAAAAAGGCTTATTTTCTATCTAGTCACTGTATTAGCAATGATTCATTGTGATATTGGTCAATAAATCCTAATTTGAAATTTAAGCTAAAAAAGGGGGTAATTTTTTGGGCTCTTCGAACCTACTCCTTTACAAATAGATAATATAGTATCTAAATTAATGGGTTCTATAAACACCATCACCATAATGATTAGGATGTGGTATCCGTGTGTAATAAAGTTTCTACAGGTACAGCCAAACTTTCAAACCACATGTTTATATCTAAGAAAGATGTTGGTTAATGTTTTAAAGTAATTTGTGAACGACATTACAGACACGGGCAAATGGAACGAGTTGAGAAATATTCACACCGTAAGAAGTGGCAAAAGAAACATCACTTTAAAAAAAAGTAACTATAGGAAACAAAAAATCGTCTTACGTAATTTTATGTATAGAGTTTCCAGTGTGAATTTTAAACATCCAAAGCAGGAAAAGGACAATTATTGCAATTTTTAATATAGGTTTATTTAAAGTCTGTTCCTATGTTAATTTCCGCAGTATAATAAGATAATTTTTGACTATTTAAAGCGAAATATTCATCAATCCAGGTTACAGACCAAATGTATATCGATTGCTAGATAAGTGTTGTTTTAACGTACCAAATCACAAACACTTAACGTTGACCAATGCATTGAATCATAAAAATGAGGTTACGGTCAGATGAACCCTATCAGATGAGTATGTACATGTTACGATTATTCCATATACAAACTACTAGTATATATTTGATCTATCGTTAATTTTATCTAATAAACAGACTGAATCACGAAAACTTAACGTTTGTCACTTAACCATTGGTTGGTGTCAAGGTCAGGTGAACTCTGTCTTACATACATACTGTTCACAAAATATTTTTGTCATGTATTAATACCTGATTCTTAAACTTTCAACATAATTGCATCGGTTATCTTACCTTATCCTTATTTCCATGTTGTCTCTTTGATAAGGTTACGTTTCTGTTATACGTGTATATAACCAACCTTAATCTTAAAGCCTTTTAACATAACATTTCGGGTTTATCTTTCCTTGACCTTATTTTTATGGGTCATCGATGATATTAAGTTTCTGTAATACTTGTAGTAAAACTTTTACCCTTAAGACTTTCAACATAAATTTCTTTATCTTCGTATACCTTGACCTTATATTTATGGATCATCAATGATGGTAAGTTTTATGTGACAGCTGTAGTAAAACCTTTCTTTAAAAGACTTTCAACATATTTGCTTCGGATAATGCTAAGTTTCTGCTATACTTGTATCATAACCAAGCTTGATCTTAAAGATTTTTAACATAAAATTCAGTAATCAATTACACAGGCAAGACATTTGAGCGTGTCCACTTTTTTGTACATTTACTATTGACCTGGTTAAAAACTTGACCACTAAAAAGCAAGTCTAAAATGCTGGGCGGTTTTTAATATACAAGTAACTGTAAAACCATTCATACACTGTAAAAAAGGAGTTAGAGATAGAACACTTTGAGCACATGTTTAGATCTAAACATGTTTAGGATTATGTTCTAATCCTAAACACCTCAATGTTAAACGTGATATTCCTCTAAACATGTTTAGGGTTAGAACACAAGACACTTGAAGTTAGATATAACTATAAGCTAAACATGACATGAGCCTAAACATGTTTAGGTTTAGAACACAACAAACAATAGGAAGCACTGTTGGCGCGTGCGCAAATAATCATGCGTTTTAAATTTTGAAATTCCGGGATGCAGAAGATCAACAATCCATGCCATGGAAGGTTCAAAAAGCGACAACGGAACTGTCAGATAAGTATTATCTATTATTATTTTCAATTACAATGTAATAGGTGAAACTAGAGAGTGTCCTTACAGGAAATTTCAAACACCACAAGGTTCTTTACAATATCGACAAAAAGGGAGAGGCATACTATTTTAAATTTGTTTTACATCTACATATCTGAATTCACTTTTTTTGTTAATTATTTATAAAAGGAATCGCAAACAAACGTTATGATAATTATATTTAAAGAAATATTATTAAAATTGAGGTATTTTATACATGATACTTTGTGGATTGTTTTAATCTGTTTCAGGTTGCTACTGCTTGCACATCTAAAGATTCCAATGTAATGTTAGACACCGACAGTAGATTTTGGAGTTACTGTATGGTCTTTGAAGACTGATTGGATGACTCTTGTCACAGTAGTATTTACCACGAGTACTCAAGCACAAATATACCCGATAAACATGTTTGAAATGGGAACATGACGGAGGCTAAACATGTTTAGAATTGGAACATGACGGAGGTTAAGCATGTTTAGGAAAGGAACACCTAGAGGTTAAACATGTTCTAGAGGGTTAAATATGTTTAGGGTTAAACATGTTCTTATGAGACAGTATTATAATGTCCTAAACCTAAACATACATACAAAGTAGAACATGTTTAAGGTTAAACATGTGCTCAAGTGAGAACAAAATTCGCGTTTAGGATTATGTTTAGACTCTAAACACCATTTTTACAGTGTATATCAAACGAAAATTAAGTCAGCAAGACAGCAACCTAACGTCAAATATAGAACCAAAACACATGAAGAGGTCAACACCCGGTCCTCAACATTTGAAAACAAGTTCATAGATAACAAATAAGTTCTGATTAAAGTGAAAAGAGACTCTCAAAGATCCCCTAAATGGAAAAATATGCTACTTGTTTTGTTTAAATGACTTTTGGATCGAGTTAAGCCATTTCAATTGATATTTTATATTGTCTTTTTATGTTGTAATGTTACACTACTGTCTGAGGTTAGGGTGAAGGTTGACGCCTGTTAAAACGTTTAAACCCGCTGCATTTTTATGCACCTGTCCTAAATCAGGAGCCTGTTGGTCAGTGGTTGTCGTTTGTTGGTGTGGTTCATAAGTGTTTCTCGTTTCTCGTTTTTTATATAGATTAAACCGTTGGTTTTCCTGTTTGAATTGTTTTACACTAGTCATGTTGGGGACCTTTATACTTGTTGTTTAGTCACGGTGTGAGCCAAGGCTACGTGTTGAAGGCCGTACTTTGACCTATAATTGTTACCTTTTTATACATTGTGACTTGAATGGAGAGTTTTCTCATTTGCACTCATACCACATCTTCTTATTTATATTAACCTAGAAAAATTCTATACAAAGTATCTTCATTTGAGCTTCTGTACAAAGTTTCTCCATACGATGATTTGAGATTCCGTACAGAGTATTCTCATTTCAGATACTATGCATTCAAACTATCCTGATTTGAGATGCTGTTGAAAGTATCTTTATTGATAATCTATACATTCAGAATATCCTCATTTGAGATTATGTACAAAATATCTTTATTTGAGACTCTGTACAAATTATCCACATTTAATATTCTATATAAACATTCAATAAATCATCCCTAGCTCTTCATCTTTTTAATAAGCTTTGGATTTTCAAATATTTTGGCCTCGAGCATCACTGAAGAGACATTTATTGTCTAAATGCACATCTGGTGCAGAAAAATTGGTACCGTTAATGTTATTGAGACTCTTTACAAAATATTCCCATTTGAAACTTTGTACACAATATTCACATTTAGGATTCCGTACAAAGCATCTTAACTTGAGACTGTACAGAACATCTTCATTTGAGATTCCGTATAAAATACCTTAATTTGAGAGTCTGTACAAAGAATTTTCATTTGGATTCTGTTCAAAGTCTCTTAGTTGATATTCCATTGTATCAACTATCCTCAATTGAGCCTGAATAAAATATCCTCATTTGAGACTCTATATAAAGTATATTCATTTAAGATTCTATACATTTAAAGTATCATCTCTTGAGAGGTTTTTACAAAGTAACCTCATTTGAGACTCTGTAGAAAGTATCCTCATTCGAGACTCTGTAGAAAGTATCCTCATTTGAGACTTTAGAAAATATCCTTAATTGGGACTCTTTAAAAACTATCCTCATTTGAGACTGTAGAAAGTATCCTCATTTGAGACTCTGTAGAAAGTATGCTCATTTGGGACTTTGTAGACAGTATCCTCATTTGAGAAAGTTTTCTCATTTGAGACTCTGTAGAAAGTATCCTCATTTGAGATTTTGTAGAAAGTATCCTCCTTTGAGACTCTGTAGAAAGTATCATCATTTGAGACTCTGGAGAAAATAACCTTATTTGTGACTCTGTAGAAAGTATCCTCATTTGAGACTCTTTAGAATGAATCCTCATTTGAGACTCTGTAGAAAGTATCTCATTTGAGATTCTGTAGAAAGTATCCTCATTCGGGACTCTGAAGAAAGTATCCACATTTGAGACTCTGTAGAAAGTATCCTCATTTGAGACTCTGTAGAAAGTATCCTTATTTGGGACACTGTAGAAAGTATCCTCATTTGAGACTGTAGAAAGTTTCCTTATTTGAGATTCTGTAAAAAGGTATCCTCATTTGAGACACTGTGGAAAGTATCTTCATTTTGAACTCTGAAGAAAGTATCATCATTTAAGACTGGAGAAAGTAACCTCATTTGTGACTCTGTAGAAAGTATCCACATTTGAGACTCTGTAGAAAGTATCCTCATTTGAGACTCTGTAGAAAGTATCCTTATTTGGGACTCTGTAGAAAGTATCCTCATTTGAGACTGTAGAAAGTATCCTCATTTAAGATTCTGTAAAAAGGTATCCTCATTTGAGACTCTGTGGAAAGTATCCTCATTTTGGACTCTGTTGAAAGTATCCTCATTTGAGACTCTGTAGAAAGTATCCTTATTTGGGACTCTGTAGAAAGTATCCTCATTTGAGACTGTAGAAAGTATCCTCATTTGAGATTCTATAAAAGGTATCCTTATTTGGGACTCTGTAGAAAGTATCCTCATTTGAGACTGTAGAAAGTATCCTCATTTGAGATTCTATAAAAGGTATCCTCATTTGAGACTCTGTAGAAAGTATCCTCATTTGGGACTCTGAAGAAAGTATCATCATTTGAGACTCTGGATAAAGTATCCTTATTTGGGACACTGTAGAAAGTATCCTCATATGTGACTCTGTGGAGAGTATCCTCATTTGAGACTCTGTAGAAAGTTTTCTCATTTGAGACTCTGTAGAAAGTTTTCTCATTTGAGATTCTGTAGAAAGTATCCTCATTTGAGACTCTGTAGAAAGTATCCACATTTGAGACTCTGTGGAAAGTATCCTCATTTGGGAATCTGTAAAAATTATCCTCATTTGAGACTCCGGAGAAAGTAACCTCATTTGGGACTCTGTAGAAATTATCCTCATTTGAGACTCTGGAGAAAGTAACCTCATTTGAGACTCTGAAGAAAGTATCCTCATTTGAGATTCTGTAGAAAGTATCCTCATTTGATACTCTGTAGAAAGTATCCTCATTTGGGACTCTGTAGAAAGTATCCTCATTTGAGACTGTAGACAGTATCCTCATTTGAGACTCTGTAGAAAGTATCCTCATTTGAGACTCTGTAGAAAGTTTTCTCATTTGAGATTCTGTAGAAAGTATCCTCATTTGAGACTCCGTAGAAAGTATCCTCATTTAAGACTCTATACACAAACATCATCCTCGCCGCGGTAAAGTCAATCTATACAAAGTATTATAATTTCAAACTATACAAAGTATCATCATTTCAGACTCTATACAAAGTATAATCATTTCAGACTCTATACAAAGTATCATTGTTTCAGACTCTATACAAAGTATAATAATTTCAGACTCTATACAAAGTATCATCATTTCAGACTCTGTATAAATAATCCTCTTTTGAGACTCTGTACAAAGTACTTAATATGAGATTATGTTCAAGAGATTCTTATTAAAGTATTCAATTTGAGATTGTGATGAAAGAGTCTATATCAGTAAAAGCTATCTTCGTTTGAGATTCTGTTTAAAGTATCTTCGTTTGAGATTCTGTTTAAAGTATCTTCATTTGAGATTACATGTATTTACAAACTATTCTTACTTGAGATACTGTACAAAGTATCTTCACCTCAGATTATATCAAAAGAATATATAACCTCATTTGAGATTCTGTTCAAATTTTCATAATTTGAGATTCAAACTTCATGCCAGATGACGGATATAAACTCGTTAGATTCCATAGATTGGTTGCATATGAAATTAAATGCAAGAAATCTGATAGATCGGTTAGATATTATGAGACGGCAACCCAACAATTAACATCTTTATAATCAAAATATTTTTAAGAGTTCAATATTAGGTCTGTAACAGTTGTAAATTGTGTCAAGCTTAATATAATCTCCCAGAGTCTTTACACAACCTTGACACAACCTTGATACAACCTTTTAAAAAAAAATTATTACGACATTTTCCAAAGTCTTTTATTTTCAATGAAGTCTTTATGTTGTACTGTTACACCACTGTCCCAGGTTAGGGGATGGTTGGTGCGCCTTCAAACTAGTTTAACCCCTCCACATTTTGTATGTGCCTGTCCCAAGTCAGGAGCCTGTAATTCAGTGGTTGTCGTTTGTTGCTGTATATCATATTTGTTTTTGTTCATTATTTTGTACATAAATCAGGCCGTTAGTTTTCTCGTTTGAATTGTTATATATTTGTCATTTCGGGGCTTTTTATAGCTGACTATGGGTTATGGGTTTTACTCATTGGTGAAGGCCGTACGGTGACCTATAGTTGTTAATTTCTGTGTCATTTGGTCTCTTGTGGAGAGTTGTCTCATTGGCAATCATACCACATCTTCTTATTTTTATATTGTTTGTCTTGTTGTCTTTTGAAGTTGCCATGGAGCTGTTTGTCATATTTCAACTTGTAATTTTGTCCCCTATTTGTTTGGTATCTTCTTACTTCTTCTGCTATAACTATAGTGATGAGAACAGCATTTTATTCTCGTGTTAAGGCTTGTGACATCCATATTTTTCTTCTTATGATAACATTTTGAAAAGAAAGTTTTCGATTTTCATCATTAAGTTTACAACCGTTACGATTAAATTACATAAATAGGTACCAAACTGAGAAATACAAGACTTTCGGAACTCACTCTTGACATTTCTTTTCGATTCGTTTCGAATCAATTACAAAAACAAAATCATTGAATAATGAACTTTTTTTATGACTTAAGGTTTGGTGACAGTCACAAGAATCATTCAGCTAATAAGAGGTAAAGTAAACACATTAAAATTTGAAAAGTAAAACTTCAATGTTTGTAGATTGTGCAAGTATGAGCCCCTCCCCTCAAGTATGTTACTTGTTTTAACTTAATATTTAGTTAAATCGACATGTAATGTCAAAACCTGTTCATGATTGTTTGTGTTATTTTTCTGGTTATTGAATTCGTGATCTATCTATCTATTTGTTTTCTATTTGTTAATATTGGATAAGGAGATGTGATATGATAGCCAATGAGACAACTATCAGGCGCGTATCTACGTTTACGTCAAAACGCCCGGGTGTGCACATGAATTATGGAAGGAACATATTTTGATCCAAATAAATTAAAGGATCTCTATAAAACACACATGCAATTGTATAGCTTTCTTCGATGACTCGTAATTGAAGATAAAAGTGACGAAATTTTCTGTTTAATGAAATGTTATCATATTATATATTTGTTCATTTTCTGTCAAACTATTTTCTGAATCTACAGTGAATATTCTACTCAGATTACTATTGTTTATCAAAGAAATTTAGTATATGCTGTGATACAATACGTGTGGCTTGCATTTTTATGTTACACATGACCATCTATGAAAGTTAATTATTTCATGCGTCCATTGGCGATATACTTGGATGGAAAGTTGTCTCCCTAGAGATAACATAGACAACTAAAGACTTGGCAATACGAACCCCACCTAAAATCGGGCCCGATCGCAGGTACTCCAGAAGGGTAAGCATATTTTGTTTCACATGTGACACCTGTCGTGTTGCCCATTTAAGTAAAAAATCCGTGAAAAGTCTGATTAAGTATGTAAAATTCGACGGAAAAGAGGACGGAATTGTGGTTACAACAATGGAACATGTCCGTCGTCATCTGTGAAACAGTCAACCAACTCGTGATCACGATCTTAAAATTTTCGAAGGGATGATTTCAACTTCACCACTTGGAACTCTTGGCTTAAAGTAGCAACCTCATTCAAAGAAATCATGATGGGAAATGCAAGTTAATGGAAAGTTCACAACTGGGAAGCTGAAATCATCTCTTATACGTAGTAATTTTTTTTTCTCAACCAACCAAGTATGTTGCTATTGGTGAATTTTGAATGACAGAAATCGTATATATTTTACGATAACGCGTGAGCTTCCGTGGGCTTCGCCCATTACCCGCGGAGGTGCTCTGCCCTGTGTCTGCTTAGTGCCTTCACACCCCTTGTCGAGGTTCGAGCGTACACTTATAAAAGGCCTTGCTACGCCACTGACTATCCACCAAAGACCAAATTACGTACATTGCAGCACTATAGGTCATCGTACGACCTTGAATAATTTATAAGTTTTTTAAAATATCTAATTAGCCTTATAAGCTAATTACCTAATTACGTTGTTAATCAAGGTCTATTCATTCAAATTTTTCTGAGTGGTCAAGCAAATGACGTAATTACCCGGTCAGATTTGATTATAATAATATAAGTTTTTATAAGCTAGACATGTTCATACATATGTTGTTATACGGATTACAAATGTGTCTTTTAGTGGCACGATAACTACACAGAGATGGCAGTACATATTCCGAAAACTGCATGGGCATATAAGACGGTTTTTTTATCCAATTTGCAGCCTCAATGATGTCAAACATAATGTAACTAAATAACAGTGAACGAATTCAGAGGATAGATAATATGAATATCCTTCAATGGTACGTTTTTAATTTAAATTCACGCTATCTGCGCACCAAATACAAAATTAATTGCTGAAGTTATTATTCATGAATTATGGACTATTGACGAGGTCAATCCGTTATATATGGACCTGTTCAGATTAAATTGACCGAGGACGAAGTCAGAGGTTCAATATAATCTAATAGGTCCAAAAATAACGTATTGACTGAGTGAAAATCTTTAATTTATATTACATATGTAAATAGTGTATTATGGAAATATATTTCAGTGTTCTTTCTGTGTATTTTACATTGTATTTTGCAAAATTTTTAATATTAACCGTCAATATATATATAAATAGAAACATAGCGTTCATATATTTTAATACTCTTTGAATCACGTGATCGTAATAACTAATGAAGAAAACAGAATGCTACACCATATGTAATATTATAAAACATTGCCTACACAAAATAAGTATTTTCAATGGAAATTGCAAAATGTTTCACGTATGCGAAAAAAAATATATGGTTGGGTTTATCAATATTTCTGGTGTAAAAAAATACACAAAAAACTTGCACACTAACAGTGCATGTAGATGGTAAAAAAAAAATGTCGCAAAAATATTTCTAACTCAGAAAAAAATCTGATGAAAGAAATGCGCTAAAGTGAAGTACGCGAAATATAAAGACACCTAATATTGAATATCTTATATGCATGGTAAAATGTTCTAAAAATACATTATGTATGTATGCATTTTTTGTCATAAGACTATAATGATATTGAGATTTTTTTTTTAAAGGGGGTGATTGAAAATGTAAGGTCTTTGGAAAGGGGGTGTCCTGAATTTATTTTCCTCTTTCAACGTGGGGACTTGAAAAAGAAAATAAGATAAATTCCAATATTCCCATCCAGGTCCCCCAATGAAAGAAAATGACCAGTCTCTTAGTAGCTATATGGTTTATAAATGTTATGTCTATTAAAAATGGTGGAATATGTCTCTAATATCTGTTCATTTTGTTCTCGGGTGCCTTTGTAAATACTTTATAGTATTTTTTTTGCACCAATAAGATGTTCAAACAGAATTCTCTAATGTCTTTTAATTTTCAACACATTTGCTTCAAAGTTTCCGGCTTGCGGTTTATATGAGGTGTCATATTAGTGATATTAAAGGGTCTTCGAAGATATGGGTATATTTTACCGCTAAAGAAAACACAGACTTTTAAGAAATATACCGGACTATATCTACCAATTTGCTGCATCAATTTGAATTGTTGTGCATCGGTCTGATAACCAAAAACAGTACTTAGCATTATATACCCATCGTTGCCCATGAGCACTTGTGTGTGTGAACGGTGTGGTTGGCATGACGGGCTTACGGTCCCGTTACGACACACCCCTACTTTGTTGCGAAGCGATAAGAACATGGAGAGACATTCTAAAAAGGATTTAATTGCTATTGGCTGGCGGGAAGACTTGGGTACCTTAATATTTATAATTATATAGTTGCAGAAGAAAAAATTGAAATTTAGTGTGACTTGATTGCAATATTACTTGAATGTTTATATATTTCAATGTGAAATGTTTTATTAATACATGTAATAAGTATTATATGATAGAGAAAGAGAAAAACATCAAGAATCAGCAAAAAGTCATTAGCTTAACCGCTTTTTCTTCATTATGGTCCAACACCATTAAATTGAATTTGAAAGTTATTTTTGAATG